TTTCCTACGCCACAGGCAACTAAAGAACTTCACGATGAGGTTAGCACAGCAATTGCGAGGGCTTCCGAACACCATTGTGTACTTTAATCCAGGTGGGCGACGGTTCGTTTCCCATTGATCACTGCCTCTGTGGATACACGTGCATAGAGAAAGAGGAGCAACTTAATGGGAGGCAGTGGGGCGAGCAAACACGAAAGGCGAGCCCACCTGTCGTCTCCCACAGACCTCTTTTTTATCCGAAAATGCGCTTCTTTTGTTTGTGGAAGAGCCAAAGTCAACATCCCCAAAGTAATAAGAAACACTCGTCATAATTGCATCCAACTCCGAGCTAATGTTCTAAGCAAGTAACATGGATTGAAGAACGGAGACCATTACTAGACCGAATCCGTTATTAAGGACACCAGAAGTGCGGTCGGTATTCTTCGTATGAGGTTGGGTTGCATGGCGTCCCGCAATACGAGGGCTCTGGAATGCCACTTAAAAAATCAAAGAAACTGAGGCATTTAGCACCGCAGTATGGTGCCGTCTCAAAATAGTGAAGCTGATTTCTGATGGGATTGTAGGTTCAACACAATTACAGAAATGATTCGACCTTGCAAATGTTTTTAACTTATAAAAAGAAGCCCTTGTTCTTAAACTGTTTGTAACAATTACTGGAAATATGTAACCTGGAACGTACGGAAATATTCTCACCTCTCCAGAGGATTCGCTGGCGTTTAGGTTACCACATAAAGAATTCAAAATCCGTCAAAGGCAATGATAAGCTTATGGCAAAATTCGCTGTTACTACATTCTTACCTATGGCTTCACAACAGTCAGAAGGCATAAGCAGTTGTCGGGACAACCTCCCGTTGGATAGAATCGACCTGCTTCCCCAGGAAGCTGACCTCCCTACTTGCCTGGGATGGTGGTAGAGAAGGCTGCCCAAATGTTTCCTCCTTCTAGGATTTACAGCCTTCAAGATAGGCACATGAATAACCTACTTCCGTTGTGTTCAGCTGTGTGGACAACTTGGAGGTTTGTCTGATTGATGCTCACTTATCTGGATGTCATCTTGCTACCTACAGAGGAGCACATATCCAAAAATCGCGATTTGAAAGAAATTTTATTCATTTCAAAACATGGTAATTGGCAGTCTCCAGTCAAAAATGGCCAAACGTAAGAGGGTTTTGATCTTATTCGCTTTCCCTTGGGCAAGAGCATAGTAGTACTATCTGGTAATGGATTACGCTGTGGATGTGAAAAAAAATTAAATGACATCTTACCGTGGTCGTTAACTTTGACTTAATTTATGAAAACCCACAAATATTTTTGCAAAACCATGAAAAGAATATATTAGAAGTTAAAAAATTGGGAGAAAAGTTTTTGTCATCAATAAAGGAAAATCATTTACCGGTTTAAATGGTGTGACGGAACAAAAGTACCTTCAGATGACTTTCAGGGCAATGCTATCCTCATTCAAACATCGTGATGAATCGGTATGCATGATCAGTTAACTTTTATTCGAAAACGCAGTGCAATGTTACGGATGGATTAGTGGAACACCAGCAAGATCTTTACTGAATGCCTGGTTCCACTTGCCAAGGGTGGGTGTAACATGTCTACTAGGTTGTCAGAAAGGCTTTAGGAAAAAAATTCCATGTTGCAACAGTAAGTTCCTCTTTAGTCATTGGGGTAATTAGTTGGCTCAAAAGAATGCATGCCCAATTAGGATCATTTTCTTTACAATTTATTTCATATTGATGGGCAAACAGGTCTTGGTCTGATATGGGCGTCCTCAGAATGTGGCCTAGTTTATCCCTCTGCCCAAAAGAACAGATTTCTTCCCTGTTTTGTTCTTCGTTCTGTCAACTTTCCGGTTTCCTCATTGTTAGTGTTTTGCAACCACTTTCTGCACACCCTCTTGACTCCTACTCTCAAATCTACTAAAAAAGCATCTGTTGTCCGCGGCAGCAATCAGTTCTTTAGTTACTGAATGCCTGTGACAGCGGCGGCGAGGAGGAGAAGGAGGAGGAGGATTAATGAGACCTCTTATCACAGTTTGGGTGGTGCTGTGGCTAAAGGGCTAGGGGCTCGCAGTAGAGGTCACCGGAAAGAGCGATTGTTTCGCGAGAAGTCCGTGTTTACCGGATACAAAGTAGATTGCCAGTAGGTGATAAGGCCGAGGCGAACGCACACGCTCTCAACACACCGCCACGGCCGACAATGAAGCTGCTGGAGGGAGTCGTGAGGCCACAAAGGCCGTGCACACACACACGCAAACCTGCGCGTCCACACCGACAGACGCTTCTTCCTCCCCTTGGCCCTATATTTGTGTGCTGTTAATGTTCGCACAACCATAGCAACGTAGGTCCAACATGCCTATGTTGGATAAATTGAGTCAGGAGTAGGGATGTGGTTAAGTTTAATCAGTTCCAGCCAAAGGTAAGCCGTATTATTGGCCCATTTTACGATTGTTTGGGGTGTAAAAAAATGATAAAAGTTAAAACGTCTGCAGATATACAAAACAGAAAGCTAACCGACAAACTTTCATGAAAAATAAGCAATCATGTAACCCGAGGTGATGCATAAAGAGGCTGGCACGCGACATAATGACCACATGTGAGTAAGCCTTTGCTTCTTTCAGTGGCGTTCAATAATTTAATACTTTGTTTGGGCTCTTCAGTATTTTTGAGCATAAACAAGACGTCCAAAAAGAATGTCGATAGTCTACTTTGAACGGGACCTAAGTGATGCACGGATTAGAACTTGATGTAAACTTGTAGTGATCGCTGGTGCTACCTTATAACCCTTAGATTTCAAACGGTGGATGTTCAACATGATGTGCTTCTTCAGGTGTAATTATACTCAAAGAGGACCATTGGCCCTAAATAGTTCTTTCGAGTTAATTTGTTATTGCGTGTGAGATTAGTTTGTTGCACCTGGAATTTGGTGGTTGAGATTAATGAGCTGTCGCGCTTGCCATCTTGGCATCAAGATAGCCTTAAATACATCCAATTCACGGCGCTGAAGTAAAACGAGTGGGCTTCAGAATTCTCAATAAGTCGGAAAAGACAGGAATGCATTGCACAAATAAGGGGTTTTGCCCCCTTTAAACAAATAATTTAGGTTGAAATGAATGCTGAATAACGAAGAAACATAAATCAACTAGCTAGGTCAAAGTTGACAACTACAACAAAGCAGAAAACTGTTTAATCCATAGAAAACCTGGCATATGTCCACCGAACTAAAGTTATCTTTGGCATCATTCAAACATGATTACCTAAATCCTACTATGTTCATAGTAATATCTATCAGAAGGCTTGGAACAAGAATATCTGCTCAATCGAAGTGTTAGTGAAGTTTTAAGATGAATGCGGTCTCTAGGTCTTACCCACGCAAACTGAACCAAAATGTGGCTCGAGGTAATCACCATTGGTGGAAGCTCTCCTATTCCAAGTGCTATTCTAAAGGTGAACTAATGGTAAGTCGATCAGACAAGGCCAGGCGCACTTGGAAAGATGCCCCGGACTTCCCAAGCAAGCTGCAATAATTTTGACAAGTTGCCCAAATATGCGAGGCAACACGCCGTCTTGGAAAAACACGACTTGAAATTGCTCGTCAAAATTTTTTTCGGCTAATTTCTCTAGTTTCTTTAGTTTCCGTAAAAAACTAAACAAAATATGCGACACCTTTTTCAATTCCACCAAATTGACAACACAATATGGTTTATGTTGATGCATCACTTTAGGAATATGATAACTTTTCATTGTTATTATTGAACTAAAGCAACGAGCTTCTTAACTAATCAAAAAATGTTTTAGGTGATTTTCATTTGTAGCATGTGGTGCAGTTAATCCCTACGATTTCTCGTACAGTTACTTAAACCTCCAGTTGAACGGCTGATTTTATTTGGGCGTGATCAACCTCGCAGATCGAACTAAAGGACGGTGTCCATTTTAGTGTAAAAAAATTCCCAAAACAAAATTGTCAACTCGACTAACATTTGTGCTCTGTTAAGCGACCAACACTGCAAGTCTTAGCTACTTCCTCGCCTTCATGGAAATAAAACAAACTCAGTTGACCCTAAATCATAAGCCGCGCATTAAATGGAGCTAAATTTGCTTCTAAAGAAAACTTAGAGCAGCATCTTTTAAAAATGAAATAAGAAAAAATGCTAAAATTGGGAGATTGGAATGCAACAATTCAATTACAAACAAATTGGCGGTTGGAGATGATGAGAGCGTAGTTTTACGACGCTAAAAGGGGCACTCCTCTGGACTTCTTATGACGCTATAAGCAAATGCTGTTAATTAAAATGAGTTTGATGGAATTGTTCCATTGACTGACGTTGTGAAGGGTATCTGTGTGCATTTTTGAACTATGTACTTCCTTGGTTCATTCGCTTAGGATGAATTGGCCTTTTATCCGCCCATTTTTAACATTTTCGTCACTGGCCTCGTCAATTCTTTGTTATTGCATTGCTTCGTGGTTTTCTGGATTTGTTCTCTGGATGATATTCAAGGGAGACGAACACGAGTGCCACAATAAATTGACGTGCAATCATTGTGAAGAGGAAAGCACCTTATTTAAGTTGTTGGTAGTGATGCTAACCCTTGAATGAGTTTGAATGAGAATTGTCTCCAAACTTCCATCAAACTTTGAATTGACCTAAAAGCTTCATTTGAAATGTAGAGTTTTTGCACGGCAAAGACCACGTTTAGTATTACTTTAACTGAAATGAATCGGATGAAAACTTGTATTTTGCTTGTCTTATTTTAAAAAATAAAATAAAACTTCGCGTACAACAGAATTTGAGCCACGATATTGTCCTACTTTGATAAATGTCTCGCCGAGGCAGACGAAGTCATCAAGCAAAGCAAATGCAGGTTGTTCGAGTTAACAATTTAGTTCCAACCACGCGTTCAAGCTGTATGCTATTGCCTATTCTTGCATGCTATGCCACTATCTGATTTTATATGAACAGGAAGAAGTACATACGGTCACCATGAATTAAATGAATTGCACTGATAAAACCCGTGATTTCCAACATATTAATGCGGCGCCGCCTTTGATGGGGTTTGACCATGAGTGGTTTTATTGTTTGTAGAAACACGGACGACATGATTAACGCGCGGTGTGAATCGGCAAATACAAGAGCCGCATTTGCCTCCACAGCAGACCCCCACCGACACCACCCTCTTCCTCTGGATCTTTCCAAACAACATGGAGGGGGGGAAGACAACACTGGTGGCCACTCCAACTCCTCCTCCTCCTACGCCACAACGGGCTTCAGACCAGCGGAAGTGACGCCGCTACCGTTATTGCCAGCTCCCTTCCGGTGGGATGGCACATTCCGAGGCATCCCCACGCCAGCTGAATTGGGCAAAATAATCGCACACAGATCACTCACCCTACCTGAGCTGACTCGGCTAGCCATGTCGCTGTTTCCAATTCCTCAGCCTGACCCCCCTGTCTACCACCCTCCGCTGACTAAGCGATGTCACATGAGCATCAGAATGCGACGAATTTATGGAAAACAGCAGCAACAGCAGCAGCAGCAGCAAGTTCCTCGCACCCTTCCCTCCAGGAGAGGTGGCGAGCGATTCCACTGCCAGTACTGCGGGAAACTGTTTCCGCGTTCAGCAAACTTGACGCGTCACATTCGGACCCACACAGGAGAGCAGCCCTATAAATGTGCCTTCTGTCCACGATGCTTCAGTATTTCGTCAAATCTTCAACGGCATATTCGAAACATACACCAAAAGGAGAGACCATTTCATTGCACATTTTGTTTAAAAAAATTTGGTCAAAGAGCGAACCTGGAGCGACACATTAGGAACCACTATTTACTTGAGTCAACGTCACAGCGTTTTCCACTGTTGTAGGGCTCGAGGTTCGATTCCCAGTTGTCCTTGCAATGTACCATATTTTTTGTGCTTTTTATTTATCATCCCTTTCTCTAAAATAAAGTGTTTTGCACATCTAACGCCTGCGAACAACCTCCATTAGTCCGGCGAAGCTTGTATTCTCTCTTCAAAATACTGTAATCGCGACACGCAGCCCTTTTTTGCTAAATGGGTAATATTTACTTAGGCCGGGGAGGCGTGCGCCGCACCACGTCCCAGGCGGCACCTTTGCTGGGAACGGGGTGGCTGGAGGAGGAAGGCGCACCCCCCTCCCGTGCCAAGAGGGTCTCATTAGTGGTCACCCCCGTTTCGGCTCGGTGCTGCAAGGGGTGGCAGCTAAGTGCATCTGAGGTTTGCCTAACTGGAATTTGCGTGTTAAGCAACATGCATTTAGTTGCGGTTAGGGTAAATCTTGGACTTGAAAGTGTTGGTGGTATACAAGCACTAGCCCTCTCGACGAGAAGTTAGTTACGCAGATTTCTTCCGGCCTAAAATAAAGTTGGACCTAGTGGAAATTTTTAGAACTAGCAAATTACGAGGTACAATGCTCAAATTCACAAATTTTTCAGTTTAACAAAAAGACCGCAAAGTCGTAACAATTAACAGCAAGCTTAAAGGCAGGTGTGATGACAAGCACCTATGTTAATCCAGCGGCCAAGGTGCGTGCAGTTTGATGTGTTAACAAGGGGTTCGCAATTGTGAGTTACTGCGTGCGGTATGCTTGGCATGAATGGTGATGGGCAAACACAGGCAGTATGAGGAACCGTTTGGGAATGGCTTATTTGTCAATTTGAAGCGGTCAGTGGCTGAAAAAAATCATTTAGCGATTTCGCTCTTTGCTTTGCCCGGTCAAAGACAGGCACCCTTAAAAGAAGGCGTTTTGATCGCCTCATCGCAGCCAAAAGGTGGCTTATTTTTATGCCTTCCTCGAAATCCGGTGGGTTCGCGCTTACCCACCCGAGAACGCAACAGCAATCACACATGACCCAGAACTTTGAGAAGCCACTCAAATTTCGTAATTCCCAATGTTTTCCAAATCTTGCATTGAGGATATATGGCTCTAAAATCTAAATTACCACTTTGCTAATAAATGATGCAAATGGCATTCACAAGCTGCAAATTCGAGTATTCCCCTTCTATACTTTTGATAGGAAAAGGTAGGTCTAAGTTGTCTACTTCGTTGCAATAAATTACGTCTCACTGCAATGTTGCAAAAACTTTTCATAAAGTAGGAAACGATATTTTAACTCAAATTTTTAAACTCAATATCCAGTGATCTCATTGGGAAAAAATCGAGGAGCCTATTTATCGATGTAGAAAGTTAAGCATTTGTTGAATAGACGGTCAAAGTAATTGTTGGTGGTTCGGTTGCTGCGGGTTCTAGCACTCAATACCTAATTCCTAACTCAGATATCGGCTGGTTTCTGGATTTTTTTCAGCTTTTGAAGCAGGAATATAAGTAGTTCCTACAAACTGGAAATTCAAAACGTTGCAACCTCTTCCTTATCTACTTTTCCGAATTGCAGCTAGAGGTTTGCTTCAGCATTTTCAACATTTTGGACAGGAAAAAACTATAGTAAAATTTGCCCTACTGCTAAACAATAAGTAACATGTCTTCAAACAGCTAGTACACTGAGCATAAATTGATGACAGACGTATTACTTAAGGATTTCTGTATCAAAATACGTTGATTAAAAAATTGAAATAAATTAAAAGTGAAATTGGTTCAAACCTCACTGTCACGATCTGGTTATTTCGACACTGCCTTCGCCTCCATCACGCCTCAATTTCATTGATCCTACATTTATGACAACGAATTCAATGGCAAAAGGCGGTCTAATTTAATGCAGCAGCCTTTGCATTATAATGGTGTGCAGCGTATACATTGAATATTCGATGCAATTTAAAAAAAAATACCAGGCATTTTGATGCGAATAAACGCAGCAGCGATTGCAGGCAGCACGTCATGTCTGCTAAGGGACTACAAATTCACTCAAATCAAACTGATATCATGTTAAGTAGTCATTTTAAACCGCAATCTGAACTCAGCACTGTCTCGAGGCGAACCACTCTTCAAGAGCTTACATGCTTCCGACATTTTACACTAATTAGTGCATAAGGAATGGAGAACCATGCACACATTGTTCTAGTGTTAGTATTTTACAACAAACAAATCGAGAACTACTAGAGACGCTTGCCAACCCAAAATTATGGCAAAATCTTTAGGCGGTTTTGCGGCAGGTTTAATTGTATTTAACTTCAATTATAGCATAATAGTAATAACTTAATCAATTTGCCAAAATGCACCTCTAGGTTCACTTTCTTTTGTCTAATTTGGAACTCAAAATGCGCAGGAAAATGGATAATGGACGGATCTGTAAAATGATTAATGGACATCAGACAGATCAAGGAAACAACGATTTTCTGAATTTGTGTGGCTGTCGCTGTGGCGGAGGGTTGATGTGCGCGTGCGTGGTCCGAGTGTGAGTCCGTTCGTTCGAACGTGCTAGTTCATGTCATGGAAAATTTGGGTGGCCATTATGTCACCAGTGGAGAGGGTCTGAACAGCGATCGACGAGCGCTCACTGAGAGGAGAGTCAAAGGAAACCATCGGAGTCTTTTTCCCTTTTGGTGTCGTGGAAGTCACGCACGGCTGGTCCTTTTCGGAGAGGCTGCCAGCGTCAGAAAAGTTGACGCTTATATCCTCAATGCACCCAGTAATGCTGGTGTCTTCATCAGAGGCCTCGTTTTGGACATGACAACTGGGGTTTTTGTTTGTAGTGTGAGTAGTTGTGGGCACCTGGCTAGGACCAAGAATTCTCTCCAACTCCTCCTCCACGTCATCAGACAGGAATTTGATGTCATTTGCGAGGTTTAAGCCCTCAGCACGGGCTATTTCCGAGACTGCCCCCGCGTCCTCCTCATCCACCTCTTCGTCGTCTAGAAGACCATAATCGGAGGAGTCAGAATCCATGGCTTTATTCTCCTTGCTGAGAGCAGTCGGGTCACTCATGCTGGTTGTCGGTAAGACAGATGAGTAAGGCCTGCCCTTGTTTTGATTTTTTGCGATGGTACTGACATATCTCTCCATTATCTCCTTGTCGCATTCCTTCCAGACCTGTGTTGCCCGCCACTTCGCACGAGACTCCTTTGGGGCAAGGATTGCATTAAAGTAGAGCGTTTCATTCACCTTAGATTAATCAAAACAAGGAGATATTAGTCTGGAAGGATCTGTGAAACATCTTCCCCCTTTCTGACATTTTCAATGGTCACAGTAAAGATTTAGCGTCATTGTCGAATGATACAATTTTCGCAGATTGGCTAAGAATAAGCAGTCTTTTTAAATACATGTATCCACTATGCATGAATGTTGTAGAGTCATCAAACTAGTTGCAAAATCTGAAGATTCATAAGTTTAAAATCGCAAATACTGCGTAAGTCGGCCTCATTAAATTTCTGATGAGGCCTTTCAAACGTGGTTTGTGAAACTTACACGCTTGCACCATCACTGCTAAAGCTAGGTTGGATATTAGAGTATTTGCAAGGTAGAAGACGATCGGACGATGGTACTTGCCTACCTGCAGTAATGGAATGTTTAGAAAGCGTGCACCCTGATGGACACCACACGACCTCTTGTTTAAACACAAACATACACCCCCTTTTAAAGCTCTAACTAGTTGACTTGTCACACACAGCAGCAACTCGCAGACACGGAGCATCGTGTTGTGATCTTTCATCGAAAATTTGGGCCATCAATTTGAGGAAGGTTGCTCTTGATTCGAAAGTTTGAGCTTCCTGTCTGCGTGGACACTACAACGACGAACCACGTAGCTGCGTATTTAGTGAAGACAAATGCAGAAGACCCGTCAATGAAGTGTCTTTTTGCACGTGCTTCATGGTGTCCTGAACAGGCAATCTTAAAATAATTTCTTTTCAGCAATCGGAAAATTTTTAGCCTTTTGAGAGCAAAAAAAATTCCTAAGTTTAGGAGATCTCTTATTTCCTCTTTTGAAGCGACAGTGTAGAGTATGACTCTAAACAGAATCAAGTAGGAGTAAATGAACCATTAATATACTAAATCATTAGATTTGTGCCAACTTTAAGACCACTTGGCTATCAGTGCTCTAAATTTTTTTGTATTTACAGAACTTGTAGATAATTTGGGGCTGCTGCGTCTTGTAGCGGATTAACAGCGATCGCGCCTGAGTGAACCCTGCTTACTGACCTGACGGTGACAATGACTCATCCCCTTTTCATTGGTTACTGTTATCAGGCGCCTGTCATCCGTTCACTCATCCACACACTTAGACAGACACTTGGCTGGCGTGACGCTAATAAACGGTCGTGTCCTCTGTCGCCTCTTTTTCCACTCTTCTCGGGTTGTTTCGAGCTGTTAACTAGAGGGTTGTAAGGTAGTGCTCAGACCCCAGCCACTACAATCTTTCCACAAAATTACCAAAGCAAATCTCACACACACTATTCAAGCATTACCCGTTTCCGTAGAAGCCTTCAGCGTGTTTATCTTAATCACGCAGCAGTTAACACTTCTCGTAGAAATCGATCTTGGTGAGGTTCAGTCGCGTAGGTCAAGAGAAAGAACTCGCAGAACTATATCAGTGGCCATGCAATTTGCTGAATTTTTCATCATAGCCAACAGAGTGAACGTCTGATGAAAACTTACTGTCATTTTCAAATAAATGGCCCATTTAAAAGTAAAAGTTAGCTTCTTCTGAAGCTAAATTTTCTTTTGTGCAAACCACTTAAAATGATTTAAACATTATCAAAGGTTGATCATTGCATATTTGTTAACCATCACTAAAAGTGACTTAGTTTTTAGCGAAAGAAATTGCGAAACATGAATTTTCAGTGTTGGAATACTCAAAATCAACGTACCTCGGCAGCACATGCGTCTAGTTCGTATTTTGAGAGGCGCCCATAAGAAAACATGCAAGCACTCAGTGATTAATTTCAGTTGATTTGTTCAAATCTCGATAAAAAGATTATATCCCTGCATACAGTACTTAGTTCTAGCTTAAAAAAACTTGGGTATTAGGTCAAAACATACTTCAAAATACGCCGGGGCTTGATTTCTGAAAAAGCACTAATATAGTACACATCCGGTGAAGAGATGAAGGGCTTTTTTCACGAGTGGAATCAGTCTAATTTTTTTTGAAAGTAATCCACATATCTTGGTGGTATTCAGTGCATCCTAAATGAGATGAACAAAATACTAACAAGTCAACTAATATTTCTATTCGTATTTTCTTTACAAGCCCATAAGTACAAACAGTATGCCTCGTAATGACAGCAAACGTAACAAAACCCATGTCCTCTCAATATATAAGCGACAGATGTGCTCGAGATCTTTTACTTCTCGTCACTAATTTCAAACTGAGATCAGTTCTGTTTAGGAAACGTGAAGCACACGATTTGTAAAGTAACGCCGTTTTCAAGCCACCATAGCTAAACTTCGGCTTTTTTCAGGTATGATAAAATATTTGGAATTGCAAACGGACAACGCAACAGGTAATTCTCTAGGTTTCAATGAAATGTCAGAAGGTTGCCTCTAATCCAGCAGTTCGATTTCCATGGAAAGTACGTACACGTACTTTCTTATATATCCACTGACACCAGCATCCATCCAGCTACAGCTGACCCCGCAACGACTTGTCGTGACTCCTGTTTATTCAACCCCCTAGTCCGGTCGCTCCACCCCCTACACAGGGTTCCCCTTGTCGCGGCGTGCCGCCAGCCGCACGAACCCTTAACTCCCCCTTCATTAGCCCGAATATTTATCTTGGAGTGTCCCCACACATAGGTCTCGATGTTAGCGCATGTATGACTCACACATCTGAGGTATAAATACACATGCGCAAGCCCCACACACGACATAACGACACCAACGTGGTTGACCTCTGAAGTAAACGCTTGTGTCCGTACTCTCCGGCCTTTTCCTTCATCTCGGGTATCAGGCAAGCGTAATCGGGCCAGGGTTATTTCCGTGGCCCCTGAGTGGTTCAAGACCACATGCTGGGGCCCACAACAGACTTCACCGTGTGTCCCTAAAAGGGTGGTGCATCTGTTTGGGTTTTAGAAGCGATGATTACACAACGTCACCGTCTACAAGATGAGCGTGTGAATCTGGAGAAGTGAGAAGTTTGCGTGTTTAGTGTGCCTAAATCCCGTAATTTATTGGAGAAATTTAGTTCTACGCAAAATTATTTTGTTCTAATTTTAGCACGTTAGTTTGCATCAACAATGCAAGATGATTCAAATAACTTCGGTCGGTCTATTAAGGCCAATCCAGCAAACAAGTTTCCATTAGTTAAAAATTAACCGCATAGTCACTTTTAATCTCCCCTTCCTCCCCCGGTGTCAAAGGCATTTTCCTAACTCCGAACACTAGTCGGTGAGGGTGACTGTAGTGAGAAATCGCACTACGGCCTCACTAAAATGTTGTACAAGAATACAAACCATTGGTCACAGAGAACAACGTTTGACATGGAAACTATAGGATAATAAAACATTGTGCATGCACAATGCCAAAACGTAAGGTACCTTCCGTTCTGTTGAATTCCTTGTTCCAATGACTCACCCAACAGACTTTAAAAATAATCCCTTGGCTTTAAGGAGTGCTAACAATAAAGATGATTTAATTAAGAACAAAGAAATAACGTCAGAATGGGGATTGACAAAGCCGGTTTCCGCAAAAAGGACCCACTTACAACAAAAGCACTGATACCTGTAGTGGACAGTCAGCGAACGAGTGTGAGTGGTTTGTTAGATGTCATTTTCTCGTTCTTATTTTGCATTGGTTACTGTTGTTAGTTGCGAAAAAATCACGCTCACACATCCTCACACATTTGGTTGGCATAATACGAGTAAACGATTGAGTTCGCTTGTCTTAGTTCTCAACTTTTTACCAGCGTTTAAATGGAAGGGGTTGTAAGGCAGTGCAAGCAAGCACCACATATCTGCTTATTTTGTTCAGATCAGAAGAATTAGTACAAAAGTCTTTTCCATCATGGAAGGGTGTTCTAACATCGCTAGAGCCTCAATGTACCGTAGAAAAAATTGGATTTATTCATCTTCATTGTCAGACAAGTTGCTTAACCACCATGCTAAACTGACTCTAATCGTACAACAGTTGGTCTGGATGATTTGACGCGAAAAAATTCTGCCTGACTTTGGAGGAAATCAGTGAAAAGATGTGGTGTAGAAATGCAGGAGGCAGACTTGGTAAGAGGTCATTTATTTCATCCAGCCAAATCAAAAACGATTTTAAAGGGCGAAGTGATTAGACGTTTCCTGGCTTGTGTTTTGTCCGAGGGCTGTCACAAATAATAGCAGCAATGATTGGGAATTTAGTTCACTCGAAAACAAATTATCGAGATAAGTTGCCGCACGTTTATTTAAGCCATCATTAAAGTTCCTGAGTATTACTCTGCATAGAAAACTTGTCTAAAATTTTTTTGGGTGACAATAATCAGTCCAAGCTTTCCCTGTAAAGTTAAAAATCATTTTTGATTTTAGAAAAGGATTGGAAGGTTTCGAACCTTTCAAAGTTGCTGATTTTGAATCTTCAACCCAATTATTAAGCTAATACTTTGCGTAAAAATTTCTTCAGGGTGCGCGGCAGGCATGATTTGTTAACCCCAACGAAGCCATGTTTATAGTTGGCGCGACGAAATAACCAATAAACGCACTAGATGCTGGAAGACGTACGCATGTGTGCATTCACAGCTTAGGAACGCTCGGTGGATCAATACGAACGCAAGTCAAGGCCACATCCTAGTGTGAAATCGAGGAGATTTTAGACACATTGTCAGAAGCATCTGCGTTTACAAATAATCCCTTCTTTACTTAATAAATCACAGTCGAAGGTTGCTTTAGATTGGAGAGAATTTGCAATTACTTGGCTTTAAAGGATTTGTTCAATACATGATTAGTTAAGTCGTAAAATTAATGGTTGTTGTTATATAACAGGGGACCTTTTAGCCACCAAATGCTTTTTATAGCTAAGAGGAAACTGTGACACCGTTAATCTTAGTGAAATTCGTTCATTCAAAGTCTTTTGCATTGTACATGTTGACAGGCTTTTATCCAAAAGCTTACAATCTTTTGTAATTTTATGAAGAAAATACAGAATGTAAAATGTCTTCCGGTTTTCATTTCAGTGAAAATAATTAAAACGAATTTGCATTTTAGAATTTGCATCGACAAAATATAATTGACTTGAATTTGTGTCACTACTGTCGACTTCAGTTTGCTGGGCAAATTTTTGACCGGCGTTACTTCGTCTGCCCACCCAACGAATTCGCCCACTGCTATTCAGGCACCATCATCTGTGGTGGAGCAGCTTTAAATCAATGACCCATTGAAGGAGCAGAAATGAAAGAGAGAAGCACTGCCTTCCATCAAAATT